GTTTGAAGCTATACAAGACATATAATGTGTACCACTCGTGCTCTCAAACAAACCCAACTCTTTGGTAAAATACATAATATATTACTTAAATATTATTATGCACAATATTTTGTACAACATTAAACTATGTATCAACCATTGTAGAAACGAAATAAAAACCTTTTCGATGTGTCAAGAGAGGAGATGGACACCATGCCTGCATTCTGAAAAGTCTATGTTACCTTTATAAGGGCTTACCACTGTCAACATGATACTAGGACTTGGGATTAGAAAATGACATCCCGAAAGAGCTAAAAAAACGTAACTTCCTATCGCAATGATGGTAGGTACACGACCTAGGTACTCAGAGTATCGATGGTCCAATAATAACATTTATAGGTAGGTATACTGTCGTATGCCAACAGCTGTAATATAAATGGAGAAATATTAGAGCACTAAAGCTCTAGAGCAACTACGTTTAGGTACATCGCTCTCCGACCGACTAGCCTGACATATATGTATATATATTTACTCGAGTTTTCTGGATTAATTAAAGGGCTCTGGGGGAGGGGGTACGTCGTCTGCCTAAAACGATTACAATGATGCAAAGTGCTAAATACTTTACTATAAACATTATTTATATTTTTCTAGTAAAGCCGTGTTACAACATTTACGTTCAAAGGTTTGATAATAACAGAGTTACTGTACCTATACTAACCTAGGTATTTATTCTTTTCCCTTGTGAAAGCACACACAACCAAGAATAGACTCCTTGCAGAGATGCAGAGGACTCGGCCTCGACCACCTCTATTGTGATATATATATTTTGTTTAATACCGCGTTAAGCGGTCTCTCGTCATATTTATATAATATAACAACAACAATAATAACAATATTACAACGTAATTCACCTAGGAACAATTATTTATACCTCTGTACGCGACGATTATACTATTATTATTATGCAACATGATTTATTATAATTTTGCAATGACTGGTGTAGGCATACTACTTACCGCTTGTTGCGTTTCTTGGACCATCAACAGCAGACACGGCACGATCACCAGAACGACGACTCCGAGCCGCCGGCAAATGCCGCCGTGCGCCATTAGAACTGTGTGCGGTTTGTGGGCAGGTCGCCTCCGGTGTAGTTGACCGCCGCCGTAGAGCTGCTGCCGAACGCCGCCGCCGCCGACGCCTCCGTACGTGCGTGCGTACGTATAGGCGCGCGCGCGCTCGCGTTTGACCGCGACCACTGGTGGACGATGGAATGAAGAAACCAAAATGTATTCTGTTGTCTTGTTTTATTATTTTTTTATTATCACGACGAAGACGATGACAATATTATGCAGGTGTATGATAGGTACGACTTATTGTAATATATTAAATTTGTCGTGGGCGCCGAGACGAGAAAAATAAAATAAAATACATACAAATAATAAATATTGTATTATTATTGTTAATCGAACGAGCTGGCGTTATCGTTTCGTTACCAAACACGGTTTTTATTGTGGTGACGGTAGTGCTGCTCACGCTGCTGCGGCACACCACGTGGTGGGCACCATCGTGTTCGATCGCCGACCCTGTGGACCACTATAATAGCGCGCGCGCGCGAACTCGGTGGCTGTTATCGGTGACCGTTATCGCTCTCGGACGTCGTCGCCGCTACCGGTTGCGGGACCTGGTCGTCGGAAACGAAAAAACGCTATAATATTAAAAAAACATGTAGTATTACCGCATCATTTTAAATACTAAAAAACCACCGAAAATGATTTCAATGAACGTTTCTAGAAAATTAAAACAACAATATTTTATTCGAATCGATGAGCGGTCCCGCTCATAGCAGCATAGCTTTGTCGAAAACACTTTGTGAAAAGTGTTGCTAAAATTTGAAAAACAAGAAATTTATATAATTATACTTTCAAAAATAGTAATAAGTAATCACTATTTTATACGAGCGATATAAGAAAAAATAAAAATATGTTGCGCAGTCACAGTCAAAGCCGTCTTTGGCTATGCAGGGCCACTTTTAGAAGCAAAAGAAAAAAAAGCCAATGAAAACATCAAAATGTCGGGAGCCCAATTGTTAGAGGTTTCTGGGCTCATGCTCCACTTGCCTTCAGGTTAAAGACGAAACTGGTCACAGTTCTTCTGTTGGCTATTTGTATGCTGAAAATGTGGCTACTTTACTATTTTGTTACCCAGGTGAAATAATTTACTGGAGTGTTCTTAAATTCTCAAGATTGTGTTCTCCGCATCTGTAGTAGCTGTTTCACAAACCTTTGTTTTATTCAAATTAATTGTGTTCAGCAATTGTAGTTCCAATTGTGTGTAGAGTAACTTTTTAGCCTTTAATAGAGTGGAATTCAGTTTTTTTTAGTATTCACTCATTAACAAACTCAAATGTAAAAACACAATCAGTGTTTTTATTGGGTATTTTACTATATTTTAATTTTGAAGCACTTTATGAGGTATCACTTATGAGTACCTCTAAAATGTACCTTACTGAAATAATAAAATTTAATATCTAACTAAAAATTTAAATTTCCTAAAAAAATCCTAAAAAATCCATGAGAAAACACAAATTTTATATTCATACCATTACGTTTGACAATTGCTAGTCACTCTTATACTCACTCTTATATTAAAATGTATTATATACAACATTCGAACTAAAAACAAATTTGGTATGTTGTATGGAGACAACATATGTATGCGTGTACCTACGTTCTCTTGAAAACACTTAGGCACTAAACAATTAATCAATTATAATTTATAAGGAAGCATTTATCATATTATAAATTCAACGATTTTTATTATGAGATTTTAAAAGCCATATTATTTATATTATTATTATAAAATATAGTATTTAAAAGCATTATTAGTAGGTAATAGGTAGGTACCTACTATTTTTATTAGGCACATACATATATGATAAATATGTTTTAAACTTAACTTTGAATAAATTTTGTTTTTCATTGTTGTAATTTATTTGCTGTTATTAAAAACTCAGACATGACGTAATGCAACATAAGACATTTTTATTATAAGACATATTATATTATAAGGTTTTAGTATGCATTTTTTTACAATTTATTAGGAAATTAATACTTAATACATTTGATAATTGTAATTCCGAACTTGTCACAAATATAATTTGTAGAAAGAAATAAGTTATGAAAATAGATCAGAAGACGACTTCATATGGTGAAAGATAGTGTTGATGGTGATTTAAAGAACAGCTTAAGAGAACGAAAATTATTAAAAACTATTAATGTTTGTTCTCATATCTAATCACTAGGGCTCGGATTTTAAAGCAAATGCTTCTTTTTATATATATAAGATAGAAATCTAATTTGTATGCATAAATTCGTACTAATTAGTACAACCTTGGTAAATGACCTCCCTTAAATAGGTATCGGACAGTAGATTAGTGGATAATTATAATTAAGGTAGCAACTAAATTTAAAATATAATTTTCAAATTATTAAAATTCAATTTTAGATTCTGAAAGGAGCGATGAATGTATTGATTTTACAATGATGTGTGTTTTTTATTAGTTTTCATATTTTTTATTTTTGTGTCTGTCTTCACGGTTTGAGGCACTAAAAGTGCTTCGATTTTCTTCAACAGCAAATTTTCTTGTAAGGAAATGAAACTAGTTGGTGCATTCGTGAGGTCGAAATTTGAAATTCCCAGTAGTTTTTAAAAGCGCAGAGAAAAACAAACAAAAAGTTAAGAAAAAATGAGAATTTTTACACAAAATCAGTTTTCGAAAAAATCAATTTTGGTTTTTATGTAACTCTAAAAAAAGTAACCATAGATACATGAAATTTTCACTGAATGTTTGTGTTAACATTCTTATGCCGATAAAAAAATGTTCGCTCAGCCAAAACTTGTAAATGTAACACAAGGTTCCTCGTAAGCTGTTGTTAGTGGAAATTAAAAAAAAAGTTGAGCTTAAATCCTCAATAATTTTATATGAGCGTTTGAATTTAGAATTTTGATCAAATTCGTACAAATCACGACAATTAGGAAATTATTTTGAGTTATAAATTCATACAAATATTTATTTTAAATCTAAGATTTGAAAACTTAATAGAAGATTCCTTATATATTTATCTACCTTTATCAAAAACAAAATTTCAACAACAATTTAGCAAAAAGTCGGATTCAATTTTTATGATCGGCTGAAATTCAAATTTTCACAACATTGGATATTCACTCGATTTCTCATTGAATAATTATCTTATTTTGTTGTAATTAAAAAACAAATAAACATATAATATGTATTTGAAATTTACACAAAATGTCTGTTTTATAATTTCCTATATTTGATAATTTTTTTTTAAAATTTTGACTTGTTTTGAGCTGTTTATAAACATTTTTAATTTTCTATTATTTTAGTTTTTTTTCTATAAATGTCAATACAATTTTGTTACTTGGATCAAAAATCTTGAAAATTTAACACAAAAGTCCAGACTTCTGATTTATTCTTACAATATAGAAGTTGATAAACATTAAAAATACATAGGTACGATTTGTTTTTATAAGCATTAAAGTTGAATTCAAAATTTCCAAATTATTTTGTAGTTATACATTTTAAAAATGTTCACAGATGGACTTTACTTTGCCCCGAACCTCGCAAATCGTGAGGAGGGCCCTGAGTATTTTTCAGTGCCCACATGCATTATTTTGCAACAATTACGTCTTGATCGTGAATATTACGATCAGCATCGACTGGGCCGTAGGTAATAATCCACGTTTTAAGTTTAACGGTGATCGCACTTGAAAATCGTATCCCACGATCGAGTCAAACCTCTACGAGACATTATTCTATTTTTTTCCTTCATATTTTCTAAGCGCTTTAAATCGGCATCCGACAGTCATCGCGGCTAGCAAAAAGGATTCAGCCGCGAAGTTCAGGAAACAGCCGCGAGGTGGCGAGATCGGCGCGCGCCGGGCCTGGGAGGCCTTCCGACGAGTTGTCGGTGCTCCGACCGCTGATAGCGAACGCCGACACACGCCGCCGCCGGACCCGTGTACCCATTTCAGACAGCCAGAAGCACCACGAAAACGGCGTCTACCGCGCGGCCCGTAGAGAGTACTATGTCGGTGCGCCGCACGAATCTCGTGTCGAAATAGTGCCGAGCGGGTATACCTATCTCTGCACACCGTGGCTGCCATGCCGCGGCTCAGTCTGCTCCGTTGGCGGTAAGTACCTACCGAGGCCAAAAACACGAATGATTATTATTAATGTCGCTGTTATTATAATATTATATTATTGTTTTATACCCGTCGCCAATGATATTATTACGTGCCTTAGTCTCGTCCGAATCGTATAATTATTACTCAAATTGTTTCCGTGGAAAAAAAGTTATAATATTTTCAGCTCGCGTGAAAAGCTTAATTTTTTTTTCAACACTTACCTCTTATATTAATTCGTTGAATTTTTTTTCAAGTTTTCTTTTATTGCCGAGAGGGATCGTCAAAAAAAAAAAAATATTTAAATGACCTGACTAAAATTTTGCGACTTAAAAAAATTCATCTGTTTTTTCTTTAAAAAAAAAATGTTTGTTTTTATTTTGCAGGCAATTCGCATTATTCGCCTACTTGTTTACGACAGTATCGACGGTAAGTACCTGCACATTTTACTCGCTTTATTTCGATAGCAATAAATTATAATATTATACATTAGTTGAACCTACCTTTATATTACAATATAATATATGCTTGCGCGTATTAGGTAGGTATAATAATAATATGTTATATTCAAATAATATTGTGACATAATGCCCACAATACACAGAATTTAAACATTAATTTATCAGAATTAATATTTTTACATATTATTCGATTTCGATATTGTGATATTATAATAATTATTATTTCTTATAATATTACGCCCAGCGCGGTACAGCCCGTGCAACCGATCCCAATCTTTTTTGTCTGTTCTTATCTCGTGTACAGCGATGTACTTCTCAAGTCGGTGTAAAGTGCACTCGCGATTCCAGCGCTTTTCCTAGAATGACCTAAGACGGACGTCTATTATAAGCTCTGTATGGGCAAAGGGGGACAACGGTGTATCGTTGTGTGATAAACTTGACGAACCTTATGAATGAACACGCGCGTAACACCATTAAATTGTAATACCTAATTGACCATTGTCGAATGGTAACTATAAATAATTGAATAGTATTGTATATAATAGAATAATATTATGATATTATTCCGTCGAGAAACTTTATTATAATTATTATTATATTATGTATTTATTTTACCCTCATCTTGGAAGTTTCATTGTAGGTTGCAGAATGATAGCAAACGATAATAAAAAACGAATGTAAATTACAGTTTTTAGTAACACCGATGTTACCTAGTATAAAATTAAACAATACAATTTTCATCACACTGACAAAAATCGAATAAAATATGCTTATTAAAAAAAAAACTCATACATAAAAAAATAATTGTTTACAGAGGTTCATTTTTTTAGTTTTAATTTATAATTCAATACAATTATATATTTTAAAAATAAGTTTATGTGTTTATGTACATTATCAAAAATCTCTAATTATATATCATCATATTATTGTGCAAATATCTTATGATTTATACAAATTATTTTTTCACAAATTTCATAAAAAAAATTGTTACAATACATTATTATTATAATGTTTCAAGTATAATTGAGAAAAGGACTGAATTGTTGTAAGCGTTGGGATTTACTTTTAGCTTAAGAGTCAACGTTTTTTGTTTACGATTAAGGTCGTTTCAAAATGATCAATTATTATAGACAGTAATACCATATTATTTTAATGGAAAACATTTTAAATACAGTACAAAAGTAGGTAAATAGATAAGAAATATTTAATTTTTAATTTAGATTGCAAACTATAATGGACATTTTTAAAAACACTATTGCGATAATAATAATTTTTTTAAAGTAATAATTAATGTAGGTAGGTATATGCAACATACGTGCATTTAAAATTGCTTAATTATCTGTTATGTTTTATTATTTGACATTATACGGGTGCAAAACGTTTTTCTATTTAATTCTTATCGATTCAAACCTTTAATGACCCTAGAAAACTGATTAATTTCAGATATCTATCGTAAAAGTATTAAATAAATAAATAAATATATAGATATATTGATATATATTATAATATACCTATTACCAGTATGACCTATGGAAAGATTCTACAAAGTTTGGATTCGTTAAACTATTGACGGTACAAATGAAATGTTTTCATAATATTATTGTCACCTCTACCTATGTAATTATGTAAACGTAAATATCTAACTCTTATTACATGGGAATCTTTAAGATAACGAGTGAAGGATTATTTTAGTTGTACAATAATGTAATGATGATGTGACTCACAATCGTTTGTCAAATTTAATAAAAAGTTTCTTAATATTTTTAAAAATGCAAGGATAATAATTTGAATAGAAAATATTTTTTATTTCCAATAAACATTAAGAATATACAATAAAAAAACATTTATGAATGTACCTACCTAATTTACAATGCATAATACCATTATAATATTTAACGTGATTATTTCTCGCATATAGTTTCCGGTTTTTTATCTTGAATTAATTTTGATGTAAGCTATACGAGTACGTTGCATCTGTTGCTAGGTACTTACTTGTTATTGTTGTCTTACAAATTCATATCATCGTAAACATGGGTGAACATGTGTAATACATTTTGAAAATATTTAAAAATCAGTACATACATTTTTTTAAAGTTACATCATAATTTTAATTTTTTAAGGGGTTTGTTATAGGCAACTTCAATGACATTTTAAGAAAATTTTTTTTAAACTTTATTTTGAAGAATTAAAATCTATATATTTTGAACAATAATTCTGTGACATGTCAAAATGTATTATTTCCTAACTTCTGTATTGTTTATACATTTTATTTCTCAACTATGACTGTAGGTTGAGTGACTAATTTTCGCAATATTATCGGATTCTACAAGTAATTTGAGAAATGTGTAGACATGTTGTGTCTTCTTAAGACAAAACACTTAAAATATTTTTCCTTTATTTTTAATACTCAAATATTTGTAACAAATGTTCATTATAATTTCTAGAGTATTATTTATTTATTTTTGAACTGATTAATGTCTTCACCTTTCAGAGCATACAAATAAATTGATAATTTTTTCACTGCAAGTAAAAACATTGAATAATATATCTCTATACACAATTCTGGAGGTCACTATTCTAATATAACAAATACTAAATAAATAAAACCAAAAAAAAAAATTTCAAGTTCTTTTCATTTTTGTACTAAAACCTAGTGGTGTATTATCATTTTAAATCGTTTTAAGAGAGATATTAAATAAGTTAATTTGTTGATTTTTTGTAATAAATCGTTGTAATCGTATCGTTAGAAAGTAGGCCGAAATCGGTGATTATTCGACTACAAGCACCTAATATATAGGCACGCATATAGGTACTTGTATTTTGTATTCTTCTTCGAATTATTTTTCATGCTGGAATACCTAATAATAAACCAGATAAGCAGCCGGTAAAAAAATATACATGAAGAGTAAACCCTTAGATTTATTCTTAGAAAATTTGTTATTGGTATATCATGTTTGGGAAAGGCTTGATTAAAATTTATATTTTATTGTTAACTTATAGGCAGAATTTTATATATCGTTTAACCGTGTCGGAATTGACTTACCGAACCAAAATTTGTAGCAGTGAGCTATCTATAAAATGTATAATCAATGATAATTTGGTACTACCTCTTAAAATTTACAAAAATGAAAATTATTTTGAATAAAATAATGATATAACCAAATATGTCATTTTTGTGCATTCCTGTCTATTGCAGGCCATAAATAAAGCGGATATAGCTTATATAGTTATATATATGTGTCTGGTATAGTGGTATACTGTTATTAAAGACAATAATTAATAAACTACCATACCTACTTCAAAATGTATTGAATTTTCTAATAATTATTTTGTTAATTTGTCGACGAAAAAATAATATTATACAAAATACGACTATATAAATGTTCAATGAATGAGTAAAAATGAAAATAGGTCGTTAAATAGCTGAATAAAATATCTTTGAAATATTTTCGATGTATCGGACATGAATTATCGATATACCTTGTGCATCCCTATAGTGACCCTGACAGGGTAGACGTCGGCCATCAGTTTGTGGTATAGTCGTCTTCGTTACGTCTTTATCAGTTGAGGTGAACAAGTAACAACCAAAGGTGTGAGTTGCTTATTATGCATCGCCACAATAACCCATGTAGTGCTTTATCCAATGTTCATTATCTGTTCTACACAAACCTCAACATTTAACAAGAATACAAGATAATAAGTTTGGGGTGTTTAAAAAATAAAATATATATATATTTATTGCTTGTATGTTATTTAATTGTTCGGAGCTATTATTTGTCAGGCCCACGGGCCTGTGTATTATTATTTATTTAACTCCCCTCCACCCCCCTGAAAAGTTTCTAAATATGCCAGGCCTAAAAACGCATCAGCTCTGATACCCTCGAGAATAAAAGCCTATACCCTATACTCTGTAGTTAATTAAAAAATAAAAATAAGTCACTTTCGTAAAAATTTTCATATTCCTTCCCATTAAAGAAACATTTTTAGTTTTTACTGATGATAAATAGGTAATACATGTTTATTTTTTTCTAGCAATGGAATCCAACTTGGAAGGATTCAAATCAAACAAATTTAAATGATCCCTATTCTGGAGATCAAGAAGTTAGACGATATACAGGTGACAATAGATATGCCATTTCAAACCAGAGAGGCAACTCAACAAATTGCACACCAAAATGTTTTGCTGAAAAAGGAAGCCGAGTAAGTTAAAATAATTTTTTAATAATCGTGTATATATATTTAATTAAACCATGAGTACATTTAATAATATAATTCTGATTATACATGGCATAAAAATTAAAATAATTTTTTATTATTAACCCTAAACTAAGGGACCACCGGGTTCAACTGGTTCTCCAGGTCCTCAAGGAATACAAGGATATCAAGGACTTGAAGGTCTTCCAGGTAACTAATAACTTATTTTAAATTAAGCATACTAGGTATATAAAATAATCAATATTATATTAATATAGCTTAAAAGTTTATATATATAATAAATATTATATTATAAATAAAATAAAACGATTGAAAAATAAAAGTTGAGGGATTCTGATTACTTAAAAAAAAGAGGTTTCCATCACTTTTTCACATTTTCCTATATCCCGGTGCAGTACAGTTCACTACGTTTATATTACTTTCATTGTATGAAACTGTATTTATAACTTTGTAATACAAAATTTTAAAATTGTATTGCTGGGTCACATAAAACAATAATTAATTTATTAATGGTTCAATACAGTTTAATTGGTAAATATTTATTGGCCATAAATTAAGATTATTAAGTACTTTTAGCTCACTATTTATTAATAAACATTTAATGGTTTTTTATGCAACTCAGCATATATATATAGCGTATATATTCGTTTTTAGTAAACAATGAACTTAATAAATTGTATATTTAATTTAATTTAAAAGTGAAACTGAAATAAGTTTGATTGGTAGCCGGAGTGAAATGTATTAACAGAAAACACTGCAAAATATATACACACTGGTTTCACAGTTTTCATATCAATTAATGCATGTAAAAATATCATTAACAATAGTGAAATTGCCTTAGCTATTATCAATATAATTAAAGGAACTTATATGCATTTTAATAAACTCCAAACAAGAGTATCTTTATTTTTAATATTTTTGTATATATTTTATACATTTATATTCCACTTTGTATAGGCACATATCTTACTTTATAACAGTTAATTATTATATACTTATTACTTATTTAACATAATAGAATGCTAATACAAATACCTATTATAAGTTATGACGATTGTTTATTGATTAATTATCACATTTTTATGACCAGGTCCAGTGGGTGATAAAGGAGATACCGGTCCAATAGGGGTACGAGGACCAAAAGGAGACAGGGTAATAAACTTGTTTTATTTTATTAGTTTCATAGTAATATATTAATATATGCAGTGATGCATTAAGACTCTTTCACAAGTGTGTAGATAGGCAATAGGCATAGATATAACTATCTTAAGATACTTTTAACAAAACAAACTAGTTATTTGTTCCATAAATATTTTGTTTATTCTAAATGCAGACACTAAATTTAGGAAAAACAAGTAATATAATCATATTTATATGCATATAGGGTGTCCCTGAGAAATTCATATAGGTATACTCAGTATATTTTTGTTAAACTCATTCCTATAGAAATAACTAATAATTATATCTTAAAAGTAAAAAGTTTTTATTAAAAGTCTCTTAGATACTTTTATGGAGATACCTACACAATATATTATATTTAAGAGGACGCCAATCCTGCATGTGTATTGTCTCCGTCTCACAAACGCGTAACATACCAAATTTACAATCAGCAGTTCCCGTTTTATGCCTTTAACTTAAAAATTAGAGTGAATCATCTGTGTTTTTTTGGAAGTTTTTTTACAATAATTCAGTTTTTAGGTGGGTTATGAGCATTTTTAATTTACATTTATTATACACGTATACTTCACTTAAAAACTGAATTATAGTAAAGAAACTTCTAACAAAACACTGATAAGTTCTTGCCATAAAGTTTCATAATAGGCCGATTCACTCTAATTTTTAAGTTAAAGGCATAAAACGTGAATTGCTGGTTAGGTATGTTACGCGTTTGTAAGGCGGAGACAACACATACGGGTTTGGCGTCCTCTTAAGCTACAAATATGGTTTATTTTTTTTTTAAGTATCTAGTTATAGATACAATACACAAAAATAGTACCTTAATACATTACATCACTGAATACATGTATCGTTAAAATCAAAAATAATGAAAACATTTTTTAAAATTTGTTTCTATCTATGTATAAAATATTAAAATTATATAAAATTGTTTTTATAATATTATAATTTAACAAACAATCAATATTTGACATTACTTTATTATTTTGTATAAGTTTTGTAGAATTTTAGATTTTAGTTTATTGTCTATTGATACATTTTTAAGAGGAAATTTAATTATTTAAAAAAGTGGGTAAGTATGTAACCACTCTGCTATATGTGTCGAATGTACCTCACCAGTCTTCATTGCAGAGTTAGTCACAGTTATGGATTTGTGTTAAATTACTTAAATTTAAATTTGTATGATAAGTCGCAAACAAAAAAGGATTCTGGGCTGAAATGATTAATCGACTGTCAGCCTATATATTATATTGTATCATACATTTTTATTGCCATTTATCAATCTAATTCATTTTAATAATAGTAATACAGTGGGTTGAATTGATTTTTGCCGAAAACATTGCATTTATTTTATTATTAATATTTAATTATTATAATAGTACCTACATATTATTTACTATCGGTATCAACCGGGAAAAAAATGATCGGTTAATACATAATATGGCATCGTATTGGTACATCTCAGTTTTGGTATACCTCAGTTCAGATTTTATAGCTCTTAATATATTTTACAATGTGGTTCAAGCTACTCTCCAAGCATTCCTGATAACTTTAAGAACAATCTCTGAAATTTTCGTCCATAATAGTTGGTTGGTTTTTGAGTCTATAGGCAACAAACATAATAAAGAAGAATCATTTTAAACTGTCATAGTCTCATATTTATTGTTGTAAGATATAAGTTATTTAAAAAAAATACTAATTTCTTATACTAGAACTTATAGTTATAATCTATAACCAATGGTAACCATTTAAATACAAAAAAATTCAATTTCGATCTTGAATCTCAAAGTGTGTTTCTCTTATACCTCTCTGGTCGGTCATTAGTCTGGCACTTCGCTGTTCATCGCTTTTGGTAATACGGGCTTAAGTAGCATGTGTTCGCATAGCTGCCACTTACCAGCCTACCTTCAAGGAACTCGTCTGTTTCACGCAAACGGGCTTGTGCACTGCGTTCTCAAGCGGCAGCCAATGTTTAGCTATTTTCCTCATTTGATTCAGAAGCTAATTCAGTGTTATCTGTGTTTTGACCGATCAAAGCTTTTCGTTTGTGAGGCATATTAAATTGTTTTAATTTATGCTTTGTTGACAGGATTATTGTTATGGTTCATGTTACATTACAAAGTTCATCATGAAAACTTATAAATAAACGGTGTATAACATTTTCAAGTTCGCAAGAATAATATTTTTGAATTATAACAAAATAAGTAAGATCAATAATCTTCGTCCAAATTTCCTAACTTCAAATGTCTATAAAACAAATTTGTACTTAAACATTTTTTTAGTTTTTTAAATTTCAGTAGGTACCTAAGAAATACTTATGAGGTAACTTAAATTCAATTAAGTCTTGAATTCGAAATTGAACATATCATAAATTCTTATATTCTGTCAATAGAAAAATTTTATTTGTTGGGTCAAAAAGCTTGAAAACTTAATACAAAGTCTTTGATATACTGTGTCAATATGAGTTGGAAAGTATTAAAAATACATATGGACGTTTTTTTTTTATAAGAATTTAAAGTTCAAATGTTGTCAAAATTCATATTATTCAAAATTTATAAATAACTTTATAATTTAAAATTTTTAAAATTTTTAATGTTTTTGTGAAGGATTGAAAAATTTAAAACAAAGTTCCACGCAAGTAGGTTATTCTATAACCAAAAATTATATAAGCACAGTTTATTTTTTTTAATTGTTTTATGTTCAAATGTGGACGAAATTACTTATTAATTAACCAAGAATAATGATTTCAGTTATTTTGTTATAATTTAGAAATATTAGGGTATGTACTTGAAACTTTTAGAGTATTTTACTATATTTTATACATTATTTTTAATTTCCTTTCACAAGCTTGCTTTTGGGACAGCCTCATCAAAATACCTATTATTGTATATTGTATAACTGAATATTGTATAATGTGTACCTACTTAGTAATTGATGATGATTTAATACACACTATGATTTTTCAAATGTATTTTTTTTGGAAAAAATGAATTGAGTCTATTTATTGCGTAGTACTAAATGTTTACTAGTAAAATAAATTAATTTAATCGCAATAATAGCATCAAATATCCTCAATTACTAAACAATATTATAAACCATCTAGGCTCAGAATCTTTTTTTGCATACAATAAATGTATATAATTGAATTCAAATTTAACACCATTCATTACAGTGACCCACTTGTAACCTTTTTTTTTTTTTGATAAATCACTGCATGAGAGCCGAACCGTTGAGCACCTGAAATGGCCCCCATGCTGCGTCGTTTATTTAAACAAATATATACAACTTTGATGGAACATTCATGGCAGGGTAGTATACCTTTCTTAGCCAAACTGGTGTATATTTGTATACCCTATGCTCCATGTCGTTTTACAATAAATTTACAGATGGCCGTGGCCTCATGGGGGAAGACAGGATATGCCCCGGCCTATCCCCTCACATTTATAATACGTTATTATATTTATGTATTGCTGTGTTCGGAATTTTCTTCGACCGGCCTAAACCGGCTTCCTAGACATCTCTTTTCCAGTGCCATTTATCGAGCCGTCTCAAATCTCGTAAGAGTGTTTCATCCATACACGGTCTCCACCGACCTCTTTTCGACTTCTATGAGAGACAGGATCTCCTCCATCATTTTGTAGAAGAGGCTGAACGTCTCTTTTGTCTCGCTGAGCGCGAACGCCTTTTATTGCTGGTCCACTTAGAGGTCTTCGAAAAAGGACCGCTCTAATCGTAAGCCGTCATAATTCTGACAGCTAAAGATGGTGTGTTCCGCTGTGTCAGAACCACAGGGGTTGTGGACGCAGCGTGGACTGCGGACCCTGTCCATGCAGTTTAGGTATTTCTGAAATTAATCGTGGCTGGTTAATTTCTGGGTCATGTGGTAAGTCCATGGAATCTTGGGGGTCGTCCTGTTCTCCCATCTAATGATGTTAGGAATGAGACGACTGGTCCAAGAAGCCTTCATGGCACATATTCTCTCTTTTCTTCTTGACCTGCTATCTGGAGAGGGGAGGATCGCCCAGTAAGGGGTCCTCAGATACCCTACCCTTAATCCTGGCCATGTCAACTGGTGGCACGCTGTAGAGAAGGAAGGGGGCTTCGTCCGAGACCGACCTGTTAGTTCTCATGGCCCTCCGGGACCTACTTGTAATCTAATGTACAGCAGAGCGACATCCACTTATTTTACTTTTGATCCCTTAAAGTAAATTGATGTTTTTGAAGTTTAAAGATGAGAACATTTTCTGTATTTGTAAATCATTTTCTTTTAATACGAGGGTATACATTTTGAAGTGAGTGATTGCAATATTTTACACACTTACTCATGAATAGATTATAAATTAAAGTATTGAAAAAAACGACATACGATCACAAATTACACTTATGTTTGAAGATAATAATACTATGTAATAGTTCAATATTCAATTTTACCTAACTAATTATTTACTTTTTTTTAATGAAGTATATTTTGTTTTTAGGGCAAAACTGGTATTCCAGGTTTCCCAGGTAATTATAAATAATAGTCATAATATAAGAGCGTACATCAAAAGTATGATATAATATCTCAAAATAATGATTACAAATTGTATTCATTTACTTTTTATTATTTAAGGAAAATTGTTTTCAAAAAAATATACTTATCCTTTATTTGTCTGATCAATAAATCTTGTTTTGTTTTTCAGGTGTTAGTGGAGTACCAGGACAAATGGGCCCACAAGGAATACCGGGTATCCCTGGTTTAGACGGATGTAATGGAACAGATGTATGTATAATGTATTTTTCTTACTTCAAAAATATTAAAATCAACCAAATAATTATTCCATGGTTCCATGCTGTCTACATTAAACTATTGATTCTCTGTTTGTTATGTCCTTTAATAAATATAAATTTTAGTCATTGTAAATATTTACAAATACCTACTAAGAAAATTAGAAATAAAAATAATTCATACATTTCTAATTACAACATTTAACTCTATTGTAGATATTTAATAACTAATTTAATAATTTATCATTTTATCATAACATTACAAAACATTCTCAAAAATAAATAATTTCATCATGATATAGGCAATATGCAAAAAACTAAATAATACTAAATAAGAATAATGAATATAATGCATTTCAGTACATAATATTAAAATTATAACGTTCAATAAATTCGTGTCTATTTATCAGGGAAATCCAGGCCTTCCAGGATTACCAGGAGCTATTGGACCTCGCGGATATCAAGGAATAACCGGTGAAAAAGGTTGGTATTTTAATTAGTTTTTAAAGTAGGCATATGGACTCTCAATGTCTTGTCTTCTTATAACTTATAGAAATGAGAAAATTGATTTGTAAGAGGTTTAACTATTTCTACATTAACAATATATTACATTATAATTTATAATTACTTTTTATCAAGCTATTCTAAATCATACAATTTCGGATGTCAAATGTATCGTTTCTAAATAATTAGTACCTAGATAATGAAAATACATTATACTTGGTATGAAAATAAATATACATATAGCTGTATTTGGTATTAGTATAATTTTATTTTTATCATAATTTTATAATTATTTTAAATATAATTTCCATAACATATTATGAGTCCTTAAAATAGTAAAACCTAAAATAATTGTATTTTATGATTATATTCAATGTTAAATAAGAATATTTGCTATGGTCGGGACGATACTGTTTTTTTGTAGCTGGCTGATATACAGCTATACTCATCCCAAAGGCCCAAAAAAGAATCTTGATATCGCTATCGTTACTTTCTTTTACAGATCGACCCAGTGCTCTACTTCTAACGCTACTTTTTCAATACATTTTTCTAAAATTTCTTATTAAAAATTAAAAGATTTTAGTTTGTATTGATTTGACATTTGGTATCTGTATCGGATTTGACTACCTACTTGAGTTGATCGTGGATTCAACCATAACAATTCACTCATACATTTATCAATATTATTATAAAAATGAACATATACCTAATTTCCAATTATCATATTATTTTAATTTATCTTCAAATAGGTTGTAGGTAACTACAAAAAAAAAAATTATTTTCGCCACACTACCCGTAATTTTCTACCGTGCTTTAGAATTTTGCTACATTAGGTGTGTGACAGGTAAAGTAGCTTGCTACAAGTTAGTGATAGCATGTTAGGCATGTTCGGATTTTAAAAATCCGAATTATCTGAATTTATAAAATTAGGATTTTATGGATTATCTGACTCAATTTTGCCTTTCAATGACCCATTTTTATATTCTAATACAGTGGTTCCCAACCTTTTTGAGACTATTACCCATAAGTCAGATTAGATATTAACAAATACCCCTCCCACCCAAAAAAAAGTTGAGTAAAAAAAAAAAACAAAATATATATTATGATTATAATTATAATTTATTTTAATTTTTCAAACAAAGAAAACAAGAGTTTTTATTACAACTAGTGAATAACGGTAATGAACATTAATGAGACGGTTGATATTACTTTTTTCTAACAATTTGTTTAATGTTTGGTTCAGTTTCGGCCAATTGCACATCTTAGGTCGTGTTCCAAGTTTAATCGGTTTCTTGATTTTGTTTTCATTGTTACCATTGTAGAAAATCTACTTTCACACCTGTACGTTGTGGAAAAAGGGATCAGTAGTTTCAAGACTTTTTCTGATAATAATGGATACTCGCCACCAATTTTTCGCCAAAATGTTACTAGTTGTGTGTTTTCAAAATATATTTTCTGTGTGTTGTCTTCACGAAGTCCTAAAAATTGTGATTTGGTTTCAATTTCAGTATCTGGAAATACATTTTCGTCCACTGAAAAGGGTCTTAGCACCTAATCATTTACTTGACGATTTTTTAAATCTGGAAAATATTTACTGATTGAATCTACTACTGATAATCAGTGAAGAGCTATTTGGTCTGTGAATGAACATTTTTCATTTCTTTCCTCGAGCACCATTGTTAGTTCTGGAAATATTGAAATATCCTCAACTTCAATTCTTCGTTGGTAAAGTTGCAATTTACGAAGAAAACTGGCAACCTTATCTTGAGCAGTTAAAATATTCGTCATATTTCCTTGCAAACTGAGATTAAGTGTATTTATTTCTCCGAAGAAATCCTCAAGATATGCCAATTACCCCCAGGTTGGGAACCTCTCTTCTAATATATTTAATTTCTACTCATTTTTTAAAATTTATCTTATTTCCTACTTATGACTAGTCTAGTGTTGTCTTGCGGTAGGTCAAATAAAAAAAAAAAATTTAATAAATCTGGATTTGGATATCCGGATATTCGGATTTCAGCCTAATGCCTATCCCTAGATGCGTACTGTATAGCGTCGCCACAATGAGCGCACTAGGTACTTCCGACCACTAAAAATATGTAATATCAAGTATTCAGGTATCTTAGTTTCGAATTAAATTTGAACACAATGTTGTCAACATAGTTTTTATAATAGGATTATAAAAACTTTCTTTTAGACGCACATTTTTTTTTAAATACAATTTTATTTTTGCTCAACACCTATGCAGAATAATACGATTTTTTTCTGATATTTTTAAACTCAAGTGTTCTTATTTGCTAATCAACAATATTATCACAACTCAAATAAATCTGTTTTTAATTATGCATATTTTTGTACTTACATTTTTAAATAACATTAAGAAATTGTATAGGTGTAAACAAATCTATTCGATAGATGTATGATGTACCTACATACTTAGTCAATAATATTGTGAGCTTTATTTAGTTTTAGATTAAAAAATGTACTTAATATAATATGTTCTTAAAGGTGTTAAAGGAGAAGCTGCCCAAACATCGATACACAACAAAGGTCAAAAGGGAGAGCCTGGTTTGGATGGAGATCGAGGTAAGCGTAAAATATCAGTTGAACAATATGTACAAATAATTAATTAGATAATCACAAATCCATTTAAACTAGGCTAAATGTTATTACAAATATTATGTGCTTGTACTTATTCCATTGATGTTAAAAAAATAAATATAGTTTTAAAATGATTATTAATAACATAATAATTACATTTTTTTCAGGACTACCTGGAAATCCCGGAATCCAAGGGATACAAGGTCCTATCGGACAAACAGGAGAAATTGGAATAAAAGTAAATAAAATTAATTCTCAACTTAAAGGGAGTATTTTGACCTACAAAAATAACGAATTATTTTTAAAAGCTCCTATTTTACCTATATCATAATATGATAAATAAAATATTTTTAATAATAAATTATTGATACAAACTATAATTTTTACAGGGAAATCATGGAGTCCCGGGTTTAAAAGGAGAGAAGGGTATGTATTTTTCTTCTTTTTTCTTTTTTTTCTTTCAAGCTTTTATAGGTCAATACTGCTCGACACAGCCTCCTCCATTCCTCTCTATCATTTGCCAATTCTTCCGGGTTGTCAATCCTAAGTATCCGGAAGTTCAGGTTGAGTTCGTCTGTCCACATTTTCTTTGGCCTGCCTTGTGGTATTATACCTCCTTGTTTCCAGTTAAGGGAATCCTTCATTATGCCACTCGATCTCCATACGTGTCTTAGTCAACTCATTTCTCTTCCTTTTAACATTTGTATGATGTTTTCTCCTACAAATTTTTTAAATTCATTATTCGATATTCTTTCGTAACAGGGTGTCACCTTGTTTTAATCCTATCTTTTATATATTTCTTCTTTATAATTATTTCTAAATTTGATTTTACATCTTGATCATTTAATGTATGTTTTCCACATTCTGACTAATTTCGATGATATACCGAACTTTTCTATGCTTTTCCACACTGATTTTTTATTGATAAAATCGTATACCTGCTTAACATTTATAAATAGTAGGTATAATGGCCTATTGTACACATAATGTTTTTCTTTTAGTAGTCTTATCGTAAATACATGTGAATTTCCTTGCTTTTAAGCCATATTCCTATTCGAGTAGAGATATACCGCTGTAATTATGAGTCTTCTGGGACACCTTTTTTATACATGAGACATATTACTGCTACCTTCCATTCTTCTGGTATCTTTTCTTGTTACCGCATTTTATTAATAACTTCCCATCCTTTTTTTAATGGTTTGGCTCCTATCATGTCCTAGCTCGGCGCATGATTATTCTTTGACATTTTTATAAATTTTTTAGTTCTTTCTTTCCCTGGTATGCATTGGTATTGTTCTACTGTTGTGAATACAGCATTATCTTGTCCTTGATCCAGCATTTATTGAAAAACTATTTTGAACTTTTCAAAAATAGATTGTTCATCTGTTATTATTTTGTTATTATTCTCATTACTTCCAATTTTGGTTCATACGGTTTTCTTATTTAATTGGCTTTCCTGAAAACATTATGGAGTTTTTATAGAACTGTTTAGGACTCATTCGGACTCAGTCCATTAATTGTTGCACTCTTTTTTCCCTTCTGATTACTCTTTTCATTTCACTTGGTTTCTGGGCTTGTCTTATTTTATTTTAAACACTAATTTCGATAACTTCTAAGGTTTTTGTATTGTCCCTTTCTTGTATTACTTTCTTGCAGTTATAATTGAACTATTGTCCGGCTTTTTTTATGTCTACCAAATCAATCTTTTCTTCTGTTATCTCTTTTTATCGTTTAACCTAATTTTGTCCTGTGTTCTTGATATTGTAGATTTGAGTTGTTATTCCTCAGTATTTTAATCTTTTCTAAGGTCATCTCAATATTCTTGTGATGTCTCTTCATTTACACTCCAACTGTAGGTGGACAATTCTTTCATTATGTTGTATGATGTTTGTCAAAAATAGTAAGGTGAACACAAGGTGTTTTTTCTATGAATCAAAGTGTTTCCTACGTTTGTCCATTTAATCTCTTGCACCACTACTATTTCGCACAGATATTTTTGCAGTGCGGATACAGCTGTTGTCATTGCTTCTGTTGAGTATACTGTATGTACATTCCATGTACAAATGGCGGATTTGTTCAATTAATTAAAAAATAAAACACACACAAAATAAATTATGCTAGATTTTCTCTCAATAGATTTATCAATTATTTTGTTGTTGTTTAAAATGTAGGAAATATGGGACTTGGATTTGAAGGTCTTAGAGGAGAAAAAGGTAATAAAGGAGAACGTGGACCACCAGGACCACCCGTGCCAAACTCATCACTTGTTGCAAGCAACAATACAACAGTTGGGCCAACTGGTGAACCTGGCGAAAAAGGAAATCCAGTAGATATCTTTATTTATTTATTTAGTGTACTAAAATAGATAGATAAATAACTTAATCTATAATTTGTGTTAACTAGGGTGAAAATGGCGAACCTGGCATGAAAGGAGAACCTGGAATGATTGGTGATCCAGGAAACCCGGGTACATATTATATCATAATAATTTACATTTATAAGTATAAACATGATAAAAATTAATTTAGTTCATTATTTTTTTTTGTTACTAGCCTACTTATAGAAAGGTTTAACTCAGTAAGGGAAATTACAAATTTGTTTAAAAAATTTAATTTATTTGAATTAGTATTATTATATTAAGATAATGTTTGTACAATATACATTTAAAATTAATTATTGGGTATCAATTTATATTCCAGGTGATGTTGGTGAAAAGGGAGAAAAAGGCTTAGTTGGAACTCCAGGACCAAGAGTAACTAAATATTTTTATCCAAATTAAACTTAGCCATATTTTTTAGTGGAATATTTAAACATTAAAATTAAAATTAACCATAATTCTTATGGATGATTTTTATTCATTTGAACAAGACATGTATTTATTGTTTAATCAATAAATGTAGAAAGTATGAATTAAAAATAAAAGTCATTTATTTTAATATTTTACTTTATTTGTTAGGGTCGTGATGGTTACCATGGACCTGCGGGACCTGCAGGACAAAAAGGTAATTAATCAAATTAGCATTCTCTACTGAAATATATAGAAACAACTAGAATCTATACTTTTGATATTTTTTTAAATCGAAGCATTGGTATGATCCAAAAGATGATGACGAACAGAAATTTAAAAAAAAACTAAGAATCAAAGTCTAATATACTTTATTGTAAGACTATATTATAAATATAGAAATATTTTTTTTTGTTTAGGTGATCGAGGAATTGATGGCTTGAATGGATTACCAGGAAGAGCAGGCCTTAAAGGAGAACCAGGTTTGTAGTATTACAGTAAATTCAGTAATTATAATTAGTTATTTATTATATTTAAGTACTAGTGTCAAGTGTACAAAACAAACACTTATTGTACTTTAATCCTAAAAAGTAGTAACATGTATGTTATGATACTTACATATAAATTATTAACATACTTATATGCAATATAAATATAATACAGTAAGGTATTTACAATACTATGATATTTTAATAGGTACCTAATATATAAAACTTATTTAATTCTATTAAGTATTTAAAAATTGCTTAAATTAATAATAGGTAGGTAATTAAATTTATTATATGCTATCAGGGTTTCAAACCAAAATGATTTTTGTGGTTAGTGGTTTTAATTATTAGTTCTAACATTTTTTTTTCGGTTTTAAAAACTAATTTATATTGATCTTTGATTTTATAGTTTTTAAAACCAGTTTTCAAATTAATAAAATCATTAAAATACTGGCAGGGCATAAATTTTATTTTATGAAGTTTATTTTAAGCAGATATGAGAAAAGAGTTTAAGGCAATTGATAATACTTAACATTAAATTATATCTAAGAACTAAGCAAAATCGAACGCTTGCCGTTAAACAAAGATAAAAATTAAGTAACTGAAGTATGTTTTGGTAAATCCTACGAATGGGTTTAAGAATATTAAATTTGAATAAGAATAAGGTCAAAAAAATAATTCTGAAGTAATTTTATGATCTTGTCTAGCTTTGATGTATTAGTAATACAAATCAAAGAACAACATTCAGAATTAGACTGTACAAGAGATGCTTTCAAAGGAATATTGTATCATTGACTTAATGACATGTACTTTTAATAAACTCTAGGTTACACATTTTTTCTTGTATCAATTCATTATGATTTGAGATATTTAAATCTGTGTCATAACATTAAACTGGAATCTTTAAAATTAGATAGTAGGTAACAATTTAATCCAGAGATAGACTAATTCAAATTAATTATGTTTTTATCGGGACCCAAAGTACACATTTATATTTACCAAAATTGCCAACGGATAATTTTATCTGGTCTATTTTCATGAGATTTTCATATCCACAAACACAAATAGTATGTTTAAAATGATAATGTATACAAATATCGAACATGAGGGTTTGCAACTTATTACCTCAGAAGACAGTCGTTGAGAAATTGATTTAGGCAGATGATTATTAAGAGAAGGTTGAAACCATGAAAGCAAAGAACCAGTGAAGGCAGAGACCGTAGTTTCCTAATAAGATTTCATGGTTATTTATATTTGAAGCTTTGGCAAAGTCAGTATTAATTATGTCTCTCAAGCATTGTAGTCAAATAATTGTAAAATTATATTTTGACTAAAACTAAATTATAACATGAAACTTTAGTAAAAATTATGTAGGAATAAAACCATACTGATTTTTATTAAGAAGCATAGAACAATAATAATGAAACAATAATAATAATAACAATAATTTAAATATTTATAAAGATACCGTTGATTTTTTGGATCACCTTAAGTATTACAACAAAATGAAAGAATTAAAAAATGTTTCAAATGAGTGTATCTGTGATCTCCCTCATATTTTATTTAACTTTCCTGCCCTGCGGTTTAAACAACAAATTCTATTTAACACTCTTAAATCTTTTAATATTTCTCTCAATCTTTACTCTACTTTAAACACCAAATCTGAAACAGCTATAAAAACGATAATCACCTTTATACTGGAGGCTGGCTTCATTATACAATAAATAATGAACTAATCTGTTGTTAATCTTAATTTTGTATTGTTTATTTGTCTATTATGTAATTGTTAAGTTATCATAGTTATCACTATTATTTAAGGAAAAATTGGGGGCAAGTATGCTTGGTGAATCACCCTGTATGATATATATTTTTTGTAATCATATTAATGAGTACATACTTAGATTAAACTCAATTTAGAACATTTTTTTTAAAAGCATTTTTGTCATGCTAACTGTATTAATAATTCACATGAGTCTTTAACACTAGTCCAAAATCTTATTTTCCTATTATAATAGAAATAGTAAATACAAATAATGTGAACAATTGTATTAGTATTATATTTGTATAACTAGTTTTGTTAAGTTGAATGATGAACATACAAATTAAATTATGAAGCAAAGCTACATTAAGATGATTCATTTTTGAAAAAGAAATCTTCTATACAGTCTTCTATAACATTTTAATATTATCATCGTTTTTAATTTTTAGGATTGGATGGTGCGCCAGGAGCAGCTGGGTTGCGAGGACCTCCAGGGCAACCCGGGGTATATTTTATTTTTAAATAATATTTAACTAAATCAAGAATTTGATTTAATTAATATTTTAAATTATACTGTATTATTATGCTATGATTTTGAAAAAAAAAAAACATAGACTATAGAAACATAGTTAGCTTAGTTGTGTATTGGTCATAATTCATAAATTACCAGTTATAAGAGTATATAATATGATAATAGCTCAAATATGGTTCTGCTAATATACTTGTCTACGTTTTTACTTTTCTGCTGAAATACAAATTGGTTGAAATATTTTTGTTCATTTTACGCACTCCCATGATAATGCAATAAATTTAATTTTGAAATAATTACATTTTTTATTTAGGGTGGAAAAGGCAGACCAGGTCTGCCTGGACCTCAAGGACCTCGGGGATACCCTGGACCGACAGGTATACTTCATATTTTAGTCGTTTTAAATTGCAAATACCCGATTAACAGTTCAAGTTTTTCACGACCAGATTGAGCACAACACAAAGATGTTAAAATACTGTACGATTGAGTACATAATTAATTTTTCAGTTCATATATCAATGTATATTTTAGAAGAGATACCAATTAAATTATAATTTAATAAAGCGTGTTTCAAATTTTCAATGAGTTAATTTTCACAATTTAAAACATCAGATTAAAAGTTAATATGAATTATGATTTCCTGGTTTTCAATTTGATCTGCTAATTAAATTAGTATACAAATACGTTAAAAGGTATAAATCAAAAATGTTAGTATAATTATTAGATGTGTAAGTCCTATCAAATGTTGATCCAAGGAAAATAAATATGCACCTTTCATACAAATCATGTAATGTTCATAGAACCAACACAGCAATGTTGCAATTTCATAAGGAACATTTTTATGTTTTGCTCAATCGGTCGGTCAAAAATGTCATAAGAAACTGGATACTAGTGTATCATAAATAATAAATATTGTAATATTATATTTAATTTAATTTATAAATATTAATATAATGCAATTGTCATTATTCATATCAATCTACTGATTTTCAGGTCCAAAAGGTTTAGACGGTATTGACGGCCAACCTGGTCTTCCTGGTCCAAAAGGAAATATTGGAGGTCAAGGTGTGTTATTTTTACAGTATAAGAATGATACTATATACAACAGACTTAAGTCTATACAAATTGTCATAACACAAAAACAATTTTTTTAATAAAATAACTTCCAAAGATCAATGATTCCGTTAGTTTTCTTGGACTCAATGAATTATTAAGTTTTATCTAAATGTTGTAATGCAATTTTAACAGATGTATTTTTAACTTGTATATTCCTGATAATTTAGGAGTACCAGGATCTATAGGCTTAGAAGGTTTACAAGGAGAAAAAGGAACAAAAGGAGAACCAGGACTTACAGGCATGTATAGTTGATTTTTATTTATGTTTTAAATATTTTGAAACTATGTTATCATATATTTAATTTTATGAATTTTAACAAATCAATTTAGTAATTTTAATTTTTGATTTCACAGGTTTACCCGGAGAATCTGGCCCAAGAGGTAGTTAAATTAATTAGTAAATATAATTATTATTTCTTTGTCATGGATTAGATACGAACTTAGCTCTTAATTTCTTCTAATTTATTTTAGGTTAACATGTTATTGAATTAAGGTGGAATTCCTTTTTAGTTTAAAAAAAATAACAAAATCTATTTAACACATTAAAGCAACATTAACCAATGTACAGTATTAATTTTTGATAGATTTTGGAAATTTTAAACATTGTATTTTGAGTACATACTACAATTTTATTCATTGAAAATTTATGAATAACTTATTTGAAATATGTGCTGTGGCGCTGTGCTGTTATTTAAAACAATTTAAATTTAAATTTAGTCTTCTTGTATGATTGAAATTTATTAGTTAATTGATTGGATAAAATATATCAAGAAGTATACTAGCAATCTGAAAACTGATTGTATTTTAATTACATCACAATATACATATAGGTTTTCCTGGCGCACAAGGCCCACCTGGACCTCGAGGACCTGTCGGTGAAAAGGGTGCTTCCATTGTAGTGAGTATTAACTATACTAATTTTGTTGTCTTTTTATAAATTATGTTGAAAGGAGTTTTCTAATGTAGTTTTTTTTACTACTCAATATTATTTATTAATGATAGTATAGATTTTATAAATTTATATTTTAATAAGTAAACGTTATGTACAAGCAAATTCTATTTTAATAGGGACCTAAAGGATTTGATGGAGTTGATGGAAGGGATGGTGAAAAAGGACTTAAAGGTGAACGTGGTTATCAGGGTGAACGAGGGTCTCCAGGTAAGCGTAATTGTGAAACATATCACATTAAAAATGTTTTATAATCTACTCATTAATACTTATTTCTTATTGATAATATTTTTACAAATTTAAACTATTTTTAGGTGATTCACCAACTGGCATTGCTGGACCACCAGGTGTCAAGGGTGCTACTGGGGAGAAAGGTGATGATGGCAGACCAGGGATCCCAGGAATTCCAGGTAAATTATGACATTCTATCTAGCTGAAAAACAATTTTTATATTATGATTTTAAATAACTTATCTATATAATTATTTTCATGATTTATCAACCATATTTTTTTGATTTATTCCTAAACTAATGTAACATTGTACTGATTATAGGTAGAGATGGGCCAAAAGGTGAAATAGGTGGACGCTGTCAAGGCTGTAGTCCGGGAGAGAAAGGTAGTAAAGGTGAACCTGGATTATATGGAACTCCAGGGTTGAAGGTAATACCTACTTGTATAAATCCTTATACAACGTCATTATAATGTATAACATTGATTCTTTATTACAACTTGTATACATTTTAGAAATGTTTAAATATTATCTTTGCAACTATTAAGAAATACATTCTTAATTTGTTTTATAGGGACCACGAGGACCACCAGGTGAAAGAGGATATCCAGGTGAACCAGGTGCTGATGGACTAATAGGACAAACCGGTGAACCTGGTGCTCCTGTAAGTATTTAAATATTTGTTGTATAAGAATATTGTATCTATGAAATTATTCTGGGTGGGTTATCTACCAAGATGTTTTGTCAAAGTTACAAAATAAACAATACATTTTCATTTTTATTAGGATATGTAACAAACAGTTTGTACTGCTGTAACTTCATGCACTTGCTATAAACAGATAAGTGTGGGCTAGAGTACCTAGTATGAATTATATTATAATAATATATAGTTTTTATTAATTACCTTTTAAAATTGTAAAAATACTTGGATTAAAAAGTTTATTTGTATCTTTGGACTTGGCATTTAACATAGAAAACTATCATAGTAATGAAATTTTTGCTTTGGAATAATATTTATAAATATTTGTCAGGGAATAGACGGCGCACAAGGCGAAGTTGGTCCGCCAGGAGAAAAAGGTGCAGCTGCAATAATACCAGCTAGTTGGACATTGTCTCAAAAAGGAGAAACTGGTCCTCGTGGAGATCCTGGAAGGTAATATTTTGGATTTTATTGTAAAATGGAAGGTGGACAAGTATGAACTGCTGTGTGTTAGGTGTCATGAGGGTCACTGTAATAATTGATGCGTATAGTGTGAATTCAATGATTTAAAATCATAGTATACAAAAAAACGATTCTTAATGAAGACCATCAATCAGCCTATTTAAATTAGAAAAATTTATTTCATATTTTGCTATTTAAGTTCTTTATCTTACTATTAGAAATTATTAATACAGTAAGTTGAATTAATTGCATTTTAAAAAGGGTATTGTGTGTGTTTATAATATTTTAATGATATGCCTTAAAGTTCTAACTTCTGATCGTACTGAACGTTAATTACATAATTAACTATTTTTTCCAAACATTATGGAATTCCTCATCTATTCTTCATGTTTCAAATGTTTTTATAACAGACTCAATATTATTTTTGGATTTACCAAGTATTGCTGTTTTACTATTACTAAATTTTACTATTAATAAACTATTACTTAATTTGTTCGCTATACTCAATACATCTTTAAGAATAATAAGAAAAATAATGAATTCACATTTCTGTATAGAACTTAATATGCCTAAAAAATTAAAATAAGTTTATAAATATTAAATTGAACAGTTATTATTTTATTGGTTTATTACCAACAGCTTGAGAAATATCTGTATGGGGTTGTTCATTAATTTCGTTTTCAAGATATTCAACAATTTCTTTAAAATTGTGTAACATAGCTTTGCAATTTTTGTACCTGCAAAACCCATCTAGAATCACATACCCTTAACATATTGCCTTTTTAAAAACCTAATTTATATTGTATATCATATAACTTTTAATTCTTTGAATGTCTTGAAAAATGGACATATACAGCTTCAAGTGAGTTAAATATTGTATGAGCTCCCTAAAAAATAATGACAATGTATGTAGTTTTAAATTAATAATATTTATAAATTTAAGCTATGCAGGCTTACTTTAATATTATATCAACAACAACTAAGTTTAGTCAGTGTGCCATGCAGTGGGTGTAAATAGCATATGGATAAAAGTCTTACATTTTTGATTGGACTCCATTATGATATCCTAACATGACACTTGCACCGTCATATGACTTTGAAATAATTTTAACAGCATTCATATCAACTTAATGCTTTTCAAAAAAATTAAATAAGGCTGAAGCTATGTGGCTAGCATCATGCACAGTTGATACATTTATAAATCTCCAAAAGAGTTAAAAAACTTGAAATTTAACTGAATATCTCGCACAAATTGAAAGCTGATCTACTTAAAAAACATCTATATCTACATAAAACGTATAAATTGATAAATTATATAAAGTTTTCAACAAGTATCTGTTGCATAGAATTGTAGTAGGTTATTATTAGCATACCTCGCTTCATCACATTTTTGCGAAAAAACCTATGTCCATTATCTGTTTAAATATTTCTTTGTTTACTAAATTTGCACAAATTTTAATTATATCTTCTTGAATTTGCCAACTAGTTGAGTTTATTTTTTGCTTATGTATTTCATTGAAACATGGAAGGTGCTTGGCAAATAGTCCACATATTTCTTTAAAATGTCCTAAAGAAGTAGGTTACAATAATAAATTGAGATACTGAAAAATTTATATTTTAACTAAGTGATATGTTCAAGTAATTTAATTTAAAAGTGAGAAGTGTTCAAATGTATAACCTTTATTTGTTGATTTAAATGATTCTTCGTGACTTCTAAATGCCTTGTTTGCTCAAGTATGAAACTATATCTATTAACTGAGATACATATTTTGTATTTTTCTCTATTAAAACTTTATTAGCTATACACATTTTTGATAAAACAGACCCTGACTTTTTACTGGATTCATATTCAGACAATCTTGTAGTAGTTACTGTGTACATGTATTTTAGTACCAGTATGAGACGTTAATTATGAAGATAACTCTAAATTCTATTAATTAAAAAAATAAAACAAATGTAATAGATGTCACATAATAACTGAGTATTAGTTATAAAAAAATTAATTAGAAGAACTTGCTTTTTTCCAATTATGAAACCCAGTTTTGATAAATGTATCTTCAGTAAAACCAAAATTATTTGCAAACATGTGGCAAGCATAACAAAATACAGCATTTTTCTTGACACTATGCTCTATTCACTCAAAATTAGCATTATAATAAGATGAAAATTAGCGATTTTGAGAACCAAATTTTGATTGGGTATTCTTAAGCAGAGCTAAAGCCATAATAAACGATATTATAATTCAACATACCTATGAAATATTAAAATATGAAAATTAGTCATTAATCATTACATCACTCATTACATCACTGTTATAATTTTTAAGTTAATAGTTATTAGTAATTGTACCTGATGTAATTTAATATTTACCTTTTGTATTGGTCTATTTGGTCAAGATACTAAATCACCTAGAATCTAGGTCCTAGATCATCATTAAATGTGTCTCCGGAATAAGATACATCGTTGTGAATGTTAGCATTAGAATTATCTACAGTCTTCGAAATTAATAATGTCGTTAGATGTTGTAGGATTATCAATATTATTTTGATCATTTTCTGGTGTCCTTGTCACCGTTGCCGGAGTGTTAGATTTAGACTTATTAAATTTGAAAATGTTAAAAATTTCACTTTTTTCCTTATTAAACAAACTGAATAAAAAGTAAAAATAAAATTATTTATTTATAATAAGCGTCAAAATAATAACATTTCACGTTTGAATACAAGATTCACTTACCACGAGGTTGTCAATGAATACAATATAATCAAAATAATACGATTGATTCCTGATAAAAGTAGTATAATACGGGCATAAGGCTACGGGCGTCGGTTACCGTGTTGTAAAATTATATCATGATTCATGACGAACTCAAATGTTAGCTGATAGAGCTCTGGATAAAAATACATAGTCATGTAGAAATAGTAAATACCATTGTTATACACTTTCTATAGTTACTCTGAATAACAAATAATTTTCAAACTTTATAATAATTTTGTTTAAATATTTAGATTATAGATATAGATGATTAAATTTTATAAATTTTATCATAAAAATCACAAAATCCTGAGATTCAATATTTTTTTAACAGAGGGGGCTATGCAAATATTTAGGGGGCTAAGCCCCCTCCCTTAGTTGAGCCTATGATCTTTATTATATATAATACAAGCAGACTTTTCAAATGTAATTTTTTTTGGCAAAAATAAATTTAATTTTCTGCGAAGTACTAATGCTTACTGGTAGAGTAAAATACTTTAATCACAAGAATATCATCAAATATACTGAACTAGTAAGTAATATTAGACTGATGTCCGTCTTCGCTCAGAATCGTTTTTTGTATCCAATAAATTTATATCATTGGAAAAAAATTAATAAATTAATATTAAAATAAATTAATTTAACCTACTATAGTACTATAATGACTATTACACAATAAAATGATTTATTTTAATCATAATAATATCATGAAATTTACTTATCTGGTAATATTATAGGATGTCTGTCTTAGCTCAAAATTATTTTTCTTTTACAATGATTTTATGTAATTGAATTCAAATTTAACACATCAATTACAGTGACTTCTTAGAGACCTAATGTACAGCAGATCGTTAACCACTTCCTAGATTTTTCTTCTTTTGTAATCATCAAAAAACTTTAAAAAGCATGAACTCTAGTATATTTTTGTATATTATATTATTGGTGATGTTTTTTTAAAAATACATTTATAAATCTTTTGTTTATACAATGCTGTAAGTGGACAAAGTCGAAACGTTCGTCACTAGGTGCATTTGTAAAATATTATTAGCATCTATATTAAAATAATTGATGAATGATCACACCACTTAATAAGTTCCTACCTACTTAATTTCTTAAAAAAAACAAAGCTTAAGTATTTATTTTAATATTATCTATTATTTTTTTATTATATTACATAATATGGTATTAATAAAACATGAAGTTATGTAACCTTTTTTGAAAATATTTTGATGATTTAGGGATGGCTTACGAGGAGCAGATGGACTAAACGGGCCTGAGGGAAAACCAGGTGTCGATGGATTAACTGGGATTAATGGAGAAAAAGTAAGTACCACGTCAAAAACCTTTAATCGGTGTCAACTATAATTGATTTTTTTTAAATTATTATAAAATTATTTTATTAGTGTATTTTTGTGTAACGCGAATTGTCCAAGATATTTTGAAGTAAAATATGTTAAATAGGTACCTATATAAATTCACCTACCCATAAGAACTTTTGTAATTAAAAAAAAAGTTAAATTCAACTTGATTAACCAACACATCAACTCATTTTTATATTTATTTTAATGAATCAAATAGAAGAAATATGATTTCTGAAACTGTATACGTACTGGGTGGATTAGGTACCGTTTCTTATAATAAAAACGCGTGCAGTGTTCAGTACATGTACATTTGTGGTGGTTTTATTTCTACTTAAATATTAGGTAAGTTACAATACACGGTGGAGGTTCGATAGCCTGGTAGCAATCGGTATACTCCTTCAGTTGTTGGTATATTTTTTATATCAGATGAAACATACAAGTATCGGGTGGGAAACAAGACCACGCACGTCGGGCCCGCTAATACAAGTGGCGTACGATCCGTGGGTATCGTGCCGTGAACTTGGCCTAGACAGACACGCTTGGTGTGTCATAACTGGTGGTTACCCTGAAAAAGGGCACTTTTTGTGAGATTCATAGAAGACCAGGCGGTTTTATTTATAAGCGAGGTTTGGAACGTAGTTGGTTCGTTGTGCGTATTGCTGCAGTTATCGACGAATCTTATATGACGCTGATGGCAATATCAGACTGCTGCTGATTGCAAGATTGCCTCCTTGATTCTTCGATTTCCTTCTTTAGTTCGAGAGATGTTAAAGGTTCGAAGATTTAAAGAAGACATTATTGTCAAAATTCACCCTTATGGCGATAACCTCGGATGTTGAATGGTCGGTGTTTTTTAGCCTTTTGGGACGATTAAACATCAAATTGTCACCATATTATGAATGGTTCTCGTGATGTGATTTTCCCTCGTCATAATCCTGTTTCTGTCAAATGCTGTATGTTGTGGCCTCGATAATTATAATATTAGTATTTCATGTGTGTGTGGTAGTAACATTTCTTAAACTAAAAATAATAATTAAAAAATTAATATTAAAATTAGTAATAATAATACAGACAAAAATTCAATCATAAATGACTTAAGAGTTTAATTTTCTTATTGTATCACGTAATTTCTTAATATTACTGGTTCTCAAAATCCAAATTTTAACTAACCTTCTTGTATTGACAATACAAATTACATTTTTTTTTGTAACAATGATATTGGGTGTCTTAAGTTTACAGCATGGATAAATTACTGAAATATAAATTCAAATGAAGCACGGAAAATATAAATTTAATTTTAATTGTAACAATAATAATGTTATAAATTGAAAATAAAATTAAAGATTTGAAGTAAAATGTATAACATTGATTCAAATATAATTATACTGTAATATAAACTTTCTCTTTTTATTTTAATTATTAGGGTGATAGAGGATTCCCAGGTTCTGAAGGAACACCAGGTAAATAACATAATATTTACTTTTGAATATTTTTCAAAAATTCGTTAAAAACATTTTTATATTAATTTACAGGACAACCAGGATACCCTGGATCTAAAGGAGAAAAAGGCGTTAGCATAAAAGGAGAACAAGGAGAAGATGGAAGACCTGGGTATATTTGATTTTATAATGAATTTTATTTATTTGAATTTAAAATAAATTTGGTTTTAATTGTGATAGATTGAGAGGAGATAAAGGAGAGCCCGGATTAACGGGTCAAAAAGGAACTCCTGGTGAGTTGATTTTTGTTATTAACATTTATTGAGAATTATCTTACCAAAAATGTGAGTTTTATAATTAATATTGTTGAAATATTTTATAAATATCAACATCATTAGAATGTGTATTTCTGAGATATTTTTCTGAATAATTTTATACTAAAATTTAAAAATTCTCTTATTATCATTAGTTAATAATATAAATATTCAGTAAAACTCGCTTAATACGCTTCAGTTGTTTTCGGTTGGTCCCTAAACATTTCCTATACTTGTCAATGCAAAAACCACATGTGAAGATCCTTGATTTGTCTCTCTCGGATAAGATGAAACTTTGTTCAGCAGATTACAAAAAATTTCAGTAATTGTGAGATAATAAAAACAGAAATTTTACTTGTTTACTTGCTATAATCGAGTATCGATGCAGTATCGACTCCTTTAATTACTGCTGATTTGCAAAACTTATTAGAAATACGGAAAGTATTCTCCCCTGTAGAAAATGCTGAAGAGTTGTTGGGTTATGTTTACAAAATAGAAAACTTTCTTGTTGAAACGCATTCTCAGAGCAAAAAAAAAAGACAGATACTTTTATTAATATTAATATTATATACATGTATTTTTTTAAAAATTAACTTCAATAGAAAAAATAATAATGAACTCGATATTTTAATCACTTACATTATTTTTTCAATTCCCACATAAGACATTTTTCCGGTTAAGACGCTCCAGAGATCTGGTCCCCCGAAGAGTGTCTTAAGTTAGTTTTACTGTACTTCATACTACAATATTATGTTCACATTTATATGNAGTGCCATTTATGTTATATTTTGTACCTATATATTATTTACCCATTCATCACAAATATTAATCAACAAACCAACCAACATAATGCTAATGTTTGTAAGAAATATGTCTTTATTGTAATAATCACTTTCAATACAATTACTTTCATTATAACATTCTTATGTTTCCGGCAAAATACGACGTTCACTCCACGTCCACAACAATAAAAAAGAACATGGGATTCCATGGGAATTCCATGGGACACCAGTATATAAAAAATGAACTTAAAAAATATGTACAAAGTAATATTATTAATAATATAATATAGGTATACACGAATAGCGTAAGACGTTTGTATGTAGCTATGTTACAAATCGTTATTTTTTAGTAGGCCATTATGCATGACTATTCTTAAACAAAATTTGAAAATTAATTTAAATAAAATGTAAGTATCGTTCTCTGCTTGAATAGATTTAGTAATTGGTTTTACAAATTAAAAGCTCTTGTTGATATTTGAGTGCGATATATTAAAAGAATATTAAGATAATATAATAATTATTTCCTACTTTAAACGACATAAAAACATCATAATATGTTAAGGATTTTAACAGAATATAAATCTGACCTCTGGACATACCTAATATTTTATTATGATGTATATGCATATTTTAATACATTTTATATATTACATGATCATTAAAATGTTCTTAACCTATATAACTTTTATTTAGGTCTTGTGGGCCCCAGAGGACAACCGGGCATTCGTGGAGAAAAAGGAAATACTGGACCAATGGGTTAGTATATTATGTCAGTTAAAAAAATGTAATTAATGTGGACAATTAATTACTTAGTTAATTTTGGTAGTACCTATATTATATTTTTTTATTTATTTGTGTTCAGGTTTCCTTGGCGAAGTTGGACGTGATGGAGAAAGAGGATATCCAGGATTATCTTCACCTAAAGGTGATTTAAAAAAATATACTATATGATTTCGAATTGTATTACCTATAGTTGATACATTGTTTATTTAATGTGAAATAATGTATTTTCAATAAAAAAATTAAACTTTATGTGACATAATAGAGGTCGGATTTTTATGATTTTGCATATTTGTTTCTAGTGTACACAATTAAATGGGAGTAAAATAACATAACGATTCATACAACATAGAATTCATAGGAAAAAATATAATTTGCATAAAAATGAATATTTAATGTGTTAGAGAATATTTTTGAGAATATTTTTATTTCTGAATATTTTATTTTTGTAACATCGGCATAACGAACATATTTCATGTACATCGGCATTTTGATAAATGCAATATTCACTCTACTATTTATTTCTGGGTTCTAATAAAAATAAACTAATCACCAGATATTTCTTATCGATGGCACATCGTTAATTTCGTTAGCTGTCACGACGTCCGTCGCTGCTCTTGTTGATATTTGAGTGCGATATATTAAAAGAATATTAAGATAATATAATAATTATTTCCTACTTTAAACGACATAAAAACATCATAATATGTTAAGGATTTTAACAGAATATAAATCTGACCTCTGGACATACCTAATATTTTATTATGATGTATATGCATATTTTAATACATTTTATATATTACATGATCATTAAAATGTTCTTAACCTATATAACTTTTATTTAGGTCTTGTGGGCCCCAGAGGACAACCGGGCATTCGTGGAGAAAAAGGAAATACTGGACCAATGGGTTAGTATATTATGTCAGTTAAAAAAATGTAATTAATGTGGACAATTAATTACTTAGTTAATTTTGGTAGTACCTATATTATATTTTTTTATTTATTTGTGTTCAGGTTTCCTTGGCGAAGTTGGACGTGATGGAGAAAGAGGATATCCAGGATTATCTTCACCTAAAGGTAATTTAAAAAAATATACTATATGATTTCGAATTGTATTACCTATAGTTGATACATTGTTTATTTAATGTGAAATAAATCAAGCCGAACAAAAATTGTTACTATTAGTTAGGACCCTCATTTAGGAAAGTTTGATGATAATTTGATTTAATTTAACGTCATCATTCCAAGAAGGAATAATCAAACAATTCTAAGTTTAACCCGAAAAACAATAAATTGACTCATGTGACACAATGAACTTAATCATCCTAAATATCATCTTCAATCTCAAATTTTAATAACAATTTTAAAAATAATAATTATCTATTGTTATTTATATAATATATTGAATTATTTAAATTATTTATCCGATGAACTACATGCTATCATATAAAAAATGAACTTAAAAAATATGTACAAAGTAATATTATTAATAATATAATATAGGTATACACGAATAGCGTAAGACGTTTGTATGTAGCTATGTTACAAATCGTTATTTTTTAGTAGGCCATTATGCATGACTATTCTTAAACAAAATTTGAAAATTAATTTAAATAAAATGTAACTATCGTTCTCTGCTTGAATAGATTTAGTAATTGGTTTTTCAAATTAAAAAACAAAAAATAATTTAAAATATTACAATTTTTTAAATATAAACATTTTTGGACCTTTGACATCTTTTGCATCATTGATGAATATTCATGTACCT